TGCTGTTGTCGCGCCAGAGGAACGAGGTATTTTTGCAGACTTTATAATTGCTCGATAAGATCGAAGCTATCTGATATTTACAACAACCTTATCATGATTGTGCAGTGCATCTCTGTATGGTGATATATTTCTTCTTACAAGGGAACGATCCCAACTTAAGGTGGCGAATTGGAATGAACCGCATATCATTAGATGCGTCTTGATGAGCTGATTCCAAATCTACTTCCATATCTGCGACAACGTTATTTGCAAAAAGTTATGAGCGGTTGAAAATGTGAAGTAACGGGGGTTTTAGTGCATAATTCGCTTCAAAATCCAACATGGGAGTGTATGACTAGCATGATATTGAGTGTACTGATTTCAAGGAATGCTCACACTCTAAAGAAACACAGATAAGTGTTTTTGAACAACTAATTTTCGAGGTATTGCGCTGTATATTTGCCAAATTTGGACTTTTCATTGCTCATAGCTTTTACCAAAGAACTTTAGTTGCTTTTTAGCTGTTCACAAACATCTATTTGCGTTTCTTTTGAAAGTGAGCATCCCGTGAAATCAGTACACTCAATATGATGCCAGTCGTGCACATCCAAGTTGGATTTTAAAGCAAATTATGCATCAAAACTCCCGCTACTTCACATTTTTAACCTTTCATAACTTCTTCCAGATAACGTTGTCGCAGATATGGAAGGCAGATTTGGAAGCAGCTCATCAACGCATCTAATGGTATGCGGTTTATTTCAATTCACCACCTTAAGTTAGGATCGTTCCCTTGTTAGACAGTTTGTCTTTATGAATCTGAAACGCTTAACTTTAGAACACGTTGGAAAATTTTTCTCTCAGTTGTGCCTTAGAATTCTGCTTGCTGTTTGTTTGTACCCTGCATTCTTTATCTACGCTTCAAAAAAATTTGCTCGTTTTCTAACTGAACGTAGGTTAAGCAAACGCAAAGTACAATTGAACTAGTTCCCATTTATGAAATGTTTAGAAGAGCTTGAAGTATGGCTGGAGACATGCTACAATACCGATGACATTTTGTTGTGTGATATCAATAATTTCCATGTTTCGTGTAGAGGATATGTACATATCCAGTTTTTCATGATCTCAGTTAAGTTTAGCAAACACCATAATCTTTTGCGGCTTGTAAGAGGCATAACTAGATCCTTCCCTTTTTAGGTGATGTATTGTCTCCAAACATGGCTTTTGTAAAAAGGGATCATGTTAAAAGTAGTTCTCTTAATTTTTTGGGGGATTTTCCCAATATTTATAAGTTATTGCTCTATTGTTATGTTTCAGTGACGACAGTTGCTACGCCAGATACCGTTTCCAAGACCGTGTTGGAAACGTCCTCAGTATCCTCGGCAGCAGTACGAGTCGTATCCGCAGCGTCAGTGGCGGATGTGTCCACAGCGTCTGTGGTGCCTGCAGTAACCGAACTAACCGCCCTGCCTTCCACAACCGCTGCACCCGTCGTATCTGCAGTGCCTGTGAGAGCCGCAGCTCCCGGCGAACCCGCATTAACCGTCGTAGTTGCAGTGCGCGTCGTAATCGAAGGGCCGGTTCCACCTACACTGCCCGCCATACGTGTGGTAGTAGGACAACCCGCAGTGCCCTCTGCATCCGCGGTTGTAGCTGCTGTAGTTATAGGACCCACCACGCCCTCCGCTCCGGGACCTAACATGCCTGCGATACCCATAGTACTCGCAACTCCCATGGGACCTCCACTGCCCGCTGTAGACGCACCTAGAGAACCTGGAGTATCCGTAGCCAATGTGCCTGCAGTACTCGTAGGTCCCGCAGTACCTTCCACGCCCGGATTACCCATTGTGTCTGCAATACCTGTGGTGGCTGCGACTCCCGGCGAACCTGCAATATCCATCGTATTTGAAGGATCTGGAGTATCTGAGAGTAAATCTGCTTCTGAGTCTGGTTTTGCTATGAAGCTCTGAAGAACAGTATAGCGAATATACAAGCCAGAGATTTCATTTGAGAATCTGGTGTCTGATCACTTCAACGAATAATTTAGATTGCATTGCTGCATGTCCTCCCATCTATAGTAATGACTGTAATTTTAATTACGGATTATGTGCGAATGCAACAGAAGCCCTAGCTGCCGTGATTAGCACAGGAGTAGAATGCCAGTATGTTTATCTAGATCTAATCTATAATCTAGTTAATAAGATAGCTTTTTATGAGAAGTTCTGCAAAATAGTTTCTTGTCAGTTAACAAAAGGTATCATTATAGACAAATATGGATCTGTCCCGCAGGCACCTCAGCTTATTATTATACATCTCTCATGTCTGAACCTTTACCATATCGAGGTATTGATAAATTTATGATTGTGCATAATTATGCACATTCAAAGCACTTGATATCGCCGCCTTACTTGTATTTTCAGCTGATTATGCTAGCTGTTTCCCATCAGATGGCGGTACTTGGACTTTTCCCAATAGTTCCACGACTATCGCTGCATTGACTTGTCAAGAAAGAGGATAAGCCACGTCTGTTTTTCATTACGCATCATATTTGCGTAAAGTCCCTTCTGGAACACCTCTTATTATAAGGGTTTGCATTACTGGCATTATAGGCTGGCTAATTGTTAGTATAATATGTTTCAACTGGTCAGACCGATTCGTTTTTCTATCTATTCTATTTCTATTCATCGTTTTTGTAATCAAGTTCAAAAGTGTTTGTGGATTACATGGATTACATCTCAATTCTTCTGAATTTTATTTGATGCCGTTAAGCTATGATGTATTGTTGTGAACAAGAGCTTTGGTTTTCTTTTTATTGCCTTTCGTACCTTCTCCAAGTATTCATCTTAAGCTGTGATTTTGACCTCTATTAGGTCGTAACAAAAGTTCCCGAGCACTTGCGAGAATTTTTATCTGCAACATATGTTTTCTTGCTGGCTTTTCAACACCTCACTGCGATCCACCAGCATGCGCAGGAGGGAATAATATCGACGCGAAATGTGGCCTATTTGTGCAGCATTATCTCACGCATGGTGAGAGCTGGAGAGCTCAGATGCAGAAATATAGAAGTCTGCTGGGACTGTTATGCAGATTATTTAAAATTTTGAGCGACTACCTGCAAGAAAAGTTGTTTGGAAGATCGAGCATTTTTTGTCCTCGAAAAACTCATCACTTTTCGAACAAGTCGCCTTGAACACTATTCGTTCTGCACAGGTCGACCAAATCTTTGATCACTGCGAATATTGTTGGGGTAATGCCTTACACGTCTTTTCGACCCATCACCCAGGCGTGGCGACCCTTGCAGAAGCGACATCAGCTGCGAAAAAGAGTTGCAGTCGGACGCAAATTTCAGCTTGTACTTTCTGAGCGCAGATCGCAAAACTCGAGCGCAGCTGCGGATCAGAAGTTGACAGGCTCTTCAAAAGATCACCCATGACTTGGGCGAAATTTTTTGAACTGCGCAGAAAATGGCCGCAGAAAGGAAAATTGTGAAATTTTTATGGTTGGAAAGATTTTCTTTTTTATGTGCGGATCAAACACTTCTTGTCATCGATGAAAATCAGAAGCGGTATGGAAAAGTTTAGGCTTCCCTCTACTTAACAGTATAAAAAACTTGTTGTCAAAGTCCGACCAGAGCGCCAAATAATGCGTTTGTTTGAAATTCCCAAAAGCGCCCAAGAACTCTCGCTACAACCTGATAATCAAACGATTTACTTACAAATCCGACTTTTTTATCTATGAAGATAGAGATGTTGCCAGAAGGTTGGCATTGAATACTGTATAACACATCGTGTTTTGCTCTTCGATCAATCTCCAATTTTTCATCTTAGAAAGATACTGTAAGCTTTCCTCTGTTGAACTGCTATCTCAAAATTTAATAATTGATCCTTTGTAAGGAACCCTGGGTGGAGCTTCTGATTTCTTTGTGTCGAAGTTGCATGAGGAGAAGACGATTATGATCGATTGTACCACTTTCAATAAATCTCGTGGTGGTATTAGAATTACTGGCACTCGCTCAGAGCACAGCTTCTCAGTGGGTTCGTAATCCATGCAAGGGTATCTTGGAGAAGAAGGGGTAGACCCGAGTGGTTAGTGAAAAATCCGCAAAACCCACACTCCGCCAAACTCAAAATCTACAAGAATCTTAGCCAACAACTCTCAAACATCAGCGAGGAAATATGACTTTTGAACACGCGAAAAATCCAAATGAGTCGCAAAAAATAATGCTTGGCGTCACATGGACTCGTTCCTAATCTTGGTCAGCTCTTGTGACCTATTTTTCTACTACAAAAAGTGGTCCCCTATGCGATCAGTAGTAATTTTGCTCTCGCACGAGAGCCTTTCAACGATGTAACCTGAAAGATAAGTATTTGGCTATCTGCTAATAGCTGAGCTGGTTTGAAGCTAAGTCTTCACATCTCTGCTGCAGACGCGTTATCGAATGGATTGCATATTGTACTACCCATTTCAAGCTTTGAAGAAAGCGATCTCCCGAAATATAGCCAACAAAGCAAGTAAACCGGCTCGCATTAAACACAGAAGCCAATAAAACTTCTTAATAATGTGGCCCTTGTCCCCACCCCATAAGAAGTTCTTGGGGAAGTTATCTAAATTCCTAAAAAGTTTAAAGCGTCTAAATAAGCTGGACATTTTTCCAATATCGTCACTAGGTCACTTATTCGGAATTATGATTTTGTTGAAATCAACGATGGAATCAGAAAATGTCATTTCAAGTAATTCATTGATTATTTCAACTACCTTTGACATCTCGACAAATTTTGAAGTGCGAAAATTACTTTGGCGAGAACATAAGGTAAGATAGAAGAAAGCAACAAACTTTCGAAGAAACTCAATACATACGATTAGTAAATCTCTAAATCTCAACTCAAGGAAGCACATTACCAGTACAAATAGACCAATTCATGACATACGTAGGATCAAGAGCACACTATGTAAGTAACTGGAATTGATTTCTTGAGCAAATATAATTGTTGAATGCATGTCCAATAAGCTCGATAGACAATCCGTCAAAGTATCTCACTGTCTCGAGCATGATCATTGGCGTAGACTATAGCTTGTAAGGGACGTTCAGCTTCTTCTTTGTACGAAGAATCATCAGACTTAAGTCGTCGAGCAATTGCTATAGCCACAGCGTCTAGTTCGGTACCTATCTGGCGAGGAGTTTTTTCACCATCACTGAAAAAATCTTTGTTGAAAAAGGTATTGATTGTGCCTTATGGATTTAGAGTTGCCGGAGACGAAATGCATGTATCGCAAAGACAAAAAAAATTATTTAGATAAATAGAAGAAAGAGGCGAAATTTTATGGAAGATTTACCGAATGACTGTTTGCATAAGTTATGCGCAGAGCTTCAAGCATAACGAGGTTTGATTGCCTGTTCATCTACAACAAATCGAAGTTCATATTGCAAACTGTCTTCGAACTTACATTCTGGTAGTCGTTTCTAGAACTTCTGAGCTCAAAGCTTTGAAATTAAAATCAGAATTTTTCGTCTAAGAGATGTTGCGGCACGGAACTTAGAACAGTGTAATTTCTTACGTATGTGAGAAATGTAAATTCAGAACGTGACGATCACGGAAGCAACCAATAATAATCAGTTGACTATGGCAGCATAGTGGAACCGGTCGAGATGGAAGCACGAAACTGTTTTCATATAATTTAGTCTTCCTCGGTGCCAATGTTTCTCCCTACTCCGTACGCATGCAGCATTCGTGCAGCTTTTTGCTTAGCGATTAGTCATAGTATTAGGTCGTTTCATAAGTTCGTAGACTTTTTATTTTTGTCGCCGTTTTTCGATGAAGCGGTTCGTTTACGGCAAAGTACCTATACCATTGAAAAGAGAAAATCTTGCTCTACAAGAACTGTTGTTCGTTTTTGGAGCAAACTTGAATCTCCTTCTTTTACGACTTATCAAAGCAAAATTTTTTGAGAGGCAAAAATTGGCGATTGCGGCAGCTGCAACTTTCGATCCGTATACGGAGCCACAAGTGGGAATTTTTCGTCTGAAGTTGTTATGAGTGATGAGAAACAACTGTTTGTGGTACTACGGTGCATATAAAAGTAGTCTCCATATCCAAAGAGAGGCTATAAAGAAAGATTAAGCGCACGTTTACCATGTGTGTAGATGTTTTGCGTTTGGCACAATTTTAAAAAGTTCCCACGTCAAAAATTTTATTTGAGAAAGCGTAAAATGTTGGTCAGAGCTTGTACTCATACATCTACACCACTTAGAAGAACGCATCCATTCCTCAAGTTCCGATAGGAGGACCGACACATTGTGTCGCTGAACAACGCGCCAAACTCAAGCGGCAGCAGTCAAAGACAACAAAACCATTGGGACCTTGTTCAAACGGTTCTATGCATATTGGCATGCTGCAAATTTGTCAGTGTTTCAGTCTTGCTTGCTACTATCCATCCCGCCTACCTATGACAGAAACATCTTGCGGAATACGGACCAAATGCGGAAAGTGCAGTTGCCGCAATCGCCAATTTTTGCCTCTCAAAAAATTTTGCTTTGATAAGTCGTAAAAGAAGGGGATTCAAGTTTGCTCCAAAAACGAACAACAGTTCTTGTAGAGCAAGATTTTCTCTTTTCAATGGTATAGGTACTTTGCCGTAAACGAACCGCTTCATCGAAAAACGGCGACAAAAATAAAAAGTCTACGAACTTATGAAACGACCTAATATTTGTACAGAAATTTTTAGAAAAGCTTCGTTGGGGAGTTAATCTGCCTTTCTTGAGTTAACAATTAGATGTCAGCGATCACACCAAAATAGATTAGTCTCGGGTTGCTGCTTAACCTAACCGGACATAATCGGACCAGCACGGAACCATACAAAATGATTTTAATTGTATCCCCTCTTCCGCTTGGTTCAAATCTTGTATTGTGGAACTTTGTTTGGTGAGTTGTAGCGTACAATGCTGCAAACTGCTAGTGAATTTCAATAAAATCAAGGTGGAATAGCAAGCACGCCGTTTTTGTTTTTTGCGTCCAAAGCCCAAAAATCTATTCTTTTCGAGCAACGTGTTGAACTGTTTGTAAACACAAAGTTCCTCATTTCTGTAGTTTTCTCCCCATCAGGAGGTTGCACAACTTGTATGTCATCGAAACGGTCGAAGTTTGTAAATGTGTCAATGTCTATCAAGTACATAATTATATTATAAAAAAAAATTATTGCGCTCTCTATTGAGCTAGTTGTCGCTGCACCCATAGGAATTCGAAAAGGTTTCATGCGCCGTATGTGGAGCCATTTCTGACAGTGCGATACGAGAGCGATGCAGATTTGGTAACAGGCTATCTCAACGGCAGTGTCGGGTACCAGGCGCTGACGTCTCACAGACTCCTCTTTTGGGCTTGCAACTCTCGCGAACGTTTCATTTTCCCACACCTAATCAACCAGTGAAGTACAAATCTTAGCCATTTCCCACGCCCAGGCATGAAAGCGACGAGACGACCGTTTGCGAACGCGTCACAAGGTTCAGACGAGCGGCCACTTGAAACCCGAGCTGCCGGTGCACCCGACACTGCAAGTGAGATAGCCTGTGCTTGTAATTTACTAAACTTACATGGCTTTTGCATAGCTCGCTTTCTTTGCGTTGTATTGTGGACAAAGTTGTTTGAGCATTGCATCACGGATTTCCTGAAAAGTGTTAGATAGATCTACTGCCACGTGATAGGACCGACTTGCCTTATTGCATGTAATATAGACCAGTAGTCTAGTGGCACATACAAACACGTACAGTACGGATATGATATCTGTGCAAGCCTCGTAGATCTGAACGAAAACGTTTATTACATTAATTAAGAGCCGATTCAATTTACTTACTACATACGCCTCCTGAGTCTGAGTGGATTGGAAAGCAACGTACTCCCACAGAGTGATAAGAACATTCAGAATGTTTGCCAGCAGATAGGAGCATACGATCATGACAAGAAGAAGTGTGGCTGAGCGGATTTTACTCTGAATTGTTATGATAATTGTTATTATAATTATGTTAATTATGTTAATTATAATTGTTTTGACGGCCATGCAAGAAATGGTTCCTGTGACAAGGCGGAGTGAGGCAGGCTGGAGGAGACAGCGTGCAGAGTTGCTCGTGTGCTGGGCCGTACCAACACCGTGCCGGAACGCACCTGGACGCGAACCACATTAATCGATCGTCGTTCCGGCGCGACGCTAGCATGGAGCGGTCACGGGCAACTCTAGAAGCAGCCAAAAGGCCATACCCGGGAATAATTTGCATTGAAGTTCCGAAGATGGTCTGATTTCGAGTATGTTGCTAAGAAATCATCCAAATGGCTTGTTGTCTTTGAATAATCAACACAATTTTGGATTTACAAGCGATGAGCTTGTAACAAGACAAGACGCCTTTTTCAAAATTTTGAAAAAGGGCCGAAGTTTGGGCTGTCAAGTCCTTCAAGTTCCCCCGCCCCTCTCTCGCTGATCCGATTTCCTTGAAAAGATATTTGGGACGCTCCAGCCAATTATTTCACTGCAGACTTACGTTGGTCTTGGTAAATCATAAAAATGGCCCTAAGAATTTGTCTAATCGAAGCCAGTAAAAGCGTACATGCTCACAGACTAATAAAAAAGGATTTGTGTAGCGAACAAAACACAAACCTTGTGATCACTGGAAAAGCGGAACATCTCCGCCGAACGTTGTTGATTACGTAGAGTGCTGACAATACTGTAGTTGAGGTACGCCAATAAAAAGAACGGCACAAAAACGGTCATGATATTTCTGAAAAGAACATGATGACACTTCCACTTGTTGATCTAGTTAGGATCTGGTTGCTTAGATATTATCGGCTAATGAGGAAGGTACTTTTAATGGCCGTGGTCTTTTGATATGAGATGCATATCATCTGAAGCAGCTTCGAACGCTGATTCTAATTCAGCTTTCCTTTTTTGCGGAACGGTCTTCTGAAAAGAGTTATGGAAGCCTGAAAATCCTATTTTAGGGGCGATCCTCAAGTTAGAGAGCGCTGCTATGTGCGTTGGTGGTCCAGTGGTGATGGTTAGTTGTTGGCATTGAAGGCGAAAGGCCGATGGTTCGAATCCAGTGCAGAGCGTACCATTTTGCACTACGAAAGTGAGTTTAAAAACCACTGTAATTCGTCTGCAGATATTTACTGTAATGCCCTTGGCAAATGCGACTTAAGGAAAAATTTTCTGGTAAAACCGCTTGCTTGTTGAGATTTGGTTTTCTTCGCGAAAAAATTTATGTAAAGAGGTGAAGCGAAATCGCAAAGTGAGCAAACACAGACATTTCTCACAATGGGAAAGCGTATGAAGAAAACCTCCGCACAATTCTCATGCTCGCAAGTACCTCAAGTTACTAGGGGAAGAATATTGGAGTGGCATTTCAAATAAATTCAAAACCTTTCAAATGAAATCAATCAAACCGGATTCGAACCATCGACCTTTCGCCTTTAATGCCAACAACTAATCATTACACCCCTGCACCACCAACGCATGTAGCAACGTCCTCAAACTCAAGGAGCGCCCCAAAACAGGATATTCAGGCTTCCATAACTCTCTTCAGAAGAGCGCTCCGCAGAAAAGGAAAGCAGATTTGAAATCAGCTTTCGAAGCTGCTTCAGACGGTATGCATCTCATATCAAAAGGCCACGGCCATTGAAAGTACTTTCCTTGTAAGTAACCTCTGCGCATTTGTGAGAAATTATGCTCAAAGAGAAATTCTAACTGACCTGATGTAAAATCGAAATACTGTGCCATACCAGACGGTGTGTACTATATCTGTGAGGCCAGGAATATACTCAGAAATCCCTGTGCAATCACCGTTCCGGTCTAACTGGAAATATCACCTTGAGTAATACCTTGTTTACTTCTTCTCTAGAATAAATTCACTATTTGGGCATGACCATTAAGGATGAACATATTGAGATGAGTAAACGTAAACCATTTTGAATATCGACGAGAAGTAGTTTAGGTGAATTAATCGCTTCCACTTCTCTTACATTGGCTTTATTGCTTATCTTGTTGTTAGATCAAGGCTTCCTAATTGGTCGTCCCATTCTTTTTCACTTGGAAAAAAACTAATTTTTTAGCTGGAAGTATTGCATTGTGCTTCTACCGAATTTCCACTTTTAGGTAGCAGCATTTTATATCTTGTCGTCACTTTTGAGTACCACAAAATATAAAAGTAAGCAATTTATTTCGAACCTCCACTAGTTCTATTCGAATTAATTGCCATAATTTTCTTTGCCACGACTGTCGATTTCCTCGCTTTGAGCGGGATCATTTTGAGAGTTTCTAACCATTAAAAATTTTTTCTGTATATCACCTGGATTATCAGTTGAAAAGGAATTTCTTAAAGATGCAGCCAAGTTTCCTTTTGCCAATTTTAATCCCCAAGATTTTCAAAGGTTCTGTCTCCCCCAACCCCCTTCGTCTACTCCTCTCCCCTCCCGAAGGACTCTAAAAATGCCACTGGTAGACAAATTAGGTATAGGCAAGGTGGGAAATTGTTATTCGTAGAATTTTTCAACGAAATTTTTGGGTTTTTACTTTAATCTTCACGTTGTAAATAATTTTAAGATGTTAGTGGGATCATTTTGTGAATTCGCATCAAGTTCTCCCCAAATATATCACTAAAAAATAAGAATTCCGTTTGACCATTAGCTATTTTTTGGGACAACTATACGTCATCTCAGATAATGTGACTCTTTTTATCTCTCAGCTACGGTGCCTGCAGCTTGTTGAAGGTACGAGATATGCCACAATTTATTATTCATGTGCCGATCTATCATATTACCACTTTTGACGAGAATGGAAATCTGAGACAAGCTGTGTTCATTTATTAGCTAACGCAGTAAGAAGTGGATTGTAATGAAACTTTTAGGTAAATGATACTTAGTGTGAGCCTGTTTGCCAACTTTTTTACAAGAGGCAAAAGCTTCTTCAAACATTACCTGGATCTCAAATACCAAAGTGCCTCGCAGCAGAAGCGACAGCAAAAACATGTAGAAAGCGAGAAGTCCACGACTTCTTCGGAACCACTTTAGACTTCTGGACCTTTGTGTAATTAGATATCGTTCCAGCGTTCCCAAAATGATCAAATAGCAAGAAAATGTCATCGACACCTGAAATTGGCTATGATAAACACTAAGCATTTTTTAAAGGCTACTGTAATGAAGCTGTTAAAGAGCTCATACTCGTTTCAAAGTACATACAAGATTTTCTTAATGCTAGGCAGATTTTTCTTGTAGAAAGCAGATTTATCACTTTCGTTTCGTTCTGATTTGTTTATTCTTAAAATATAACGACCATGACTGCTTCGGCTAATTGCCATATAATTTTTTTGATAAGCAAAAAAATCATGAATTATGTGCTTAAAGACTGTTTAAAAGCGAGCATTCCAGATGTTGCATTATACTCCACAAATTTTAGGTTTTAACCGTACTTTTATGGTCAAACCCCACTCTTGCATGCGCTCGATCTTCTAGACAACATCACTTCAGGAAGAAGGTATTTTCACAGCTTACCTGACACATTGACAACAGTGGTCCTAAGTACCACCAATATAACTTTGTCAACCAAAGGATCTGAAATAAAATGTTCAAAAAAATTGTGACAATATCTCAGCTGCACATATTTCCAATTCTTTTTGTTCTATTCTCGACTCTTTATAATAGTTTAATGTGCGCTTGGAGAAGACAGGAGCTTATGCGCAAACTATCACAGTTGGTAATTTCTCAAAAACCAAAGCAGTTCTACTCTATGAGTGTATAAAGCGTGAGGCGCAGGTAATTTCTTTTAGCTGTTGACTAGCAGCATTCAGCATTTGTATTATAGAAGCAAAGTTTAGATTGATGTGCATTTCCATATTTTGTTTGGCGGTGAGGGGGGGTGTGGAGGGAGAATTAGTTTTGCATCGTGACGATCTCAATTCAAATCTTTTTTTAGACATCTTCTCAAATTTTTTACTCCTAGTAAAACAAACACTTGAAGCTCCTTCGCGATCGAATAAGGCATCGGAGAATGAGCGTATTAACCGAAACAATTCTTTTCATTGTGGCCATTTGAGTTACAGAACTGTGCAAAAGATTTCATTCTACTCGTCCACTCAAAATTTGAGCAGCATCCTATACTAGTCGTTGCACAGAGCGTGACTACCTCCTCTCCCCCCCCCCCCCTGCTCCCCTCACAACATTTTCTTTGCTGTAACACTGATAAATAAGTAAAGCTCTCATATGATGTACTTTTTTATGAGAGGAGAGCTGAAATAATTTCTAAATATTCTGCATGTATGCCTCCAAACCTTCGAAATGAATATTTCTTACTCAAAGTCACGCACCTGCAACCTGTCCTTTATAATGTCTAAAGCAATGACTGGACCATACATAAGTGAAAGAAAACTATCGCTCATGGCTAAAAGGGCGAGAAAGAAGAAGTGCGCATGTCTCGAGCAATACAGTACCTGAAACCTCGATTAGGGCAAATCTGCAGCAAACCATGGTCAAAATGGCAACTAACCTTTGCTATGAGCAGATTACACAGCAATGAAACAAAAGAGAGAATAGTGCCAGCTACAGCCATGTAGAATCGTCGATCATTTATTTCGACAGCGCATGGGTCAGCGAACGGATCCTCGTAAACAAGTGTGTCGTTCATCTGAAATTGCAGAAATAAATGGATTTTCAAGTTGTTGAGAAGCAAATAGAGAAAAGTGCGAAGCTGCAGGACCGAGGAAGAGCTCGTAAAGTTGTTCAAAAGCCTGAATGTTTAGCTGAGATTCACGATATACATTGTCAATTTCAAAGTCGGTACCGAAACAAAGATGAATGTGTACGTCCACGATGTTTTGATGCATGACAACTGACCTCAAGCTTAAAGGAGGTAGTGAGTAGATGATGATAACCAAAAGTAAGCGTTACTCATTATTTCATTCAATTTTTCAAACGTTTTCCAGAAGACTTTGGAAAGAAAAGCGTTTAGTGGAGACAACCAATAATTCACTTTTGCTCAAGTGATATGGCATGAAAATCTGTTTCCAGGTTTCAGAAATATTGCATTTCTTTGCATTTATTCTAGGTCACACAAACAACTAGAGAAAGAACTATTGATGCAACCTCTTTAGCATTTCGACAAGGCATGGTGAATCTGACGCCAATAGGAAACATATTTCAGTATTAATCATATTTTTCGTGGGTTGAACGATTATTAGTCGACCCTTTGAAGTGTTGAATTTGTAATTTTAAAAAGATTTTTTAATTTGTGACGAATACGCTAGAATGCGAACTGCTTGCAGAACAAGTGCGACATTCACATTTCCAGAGGTACCTAGGCATCAATCAGTTCCAGTAAGTTTTAAGATTCCTTAGCACCTTCCGCATTGTCTAGCTAATTGACTTGATAAAGACGGAACATAAGTTTTCCTTAAAACACAGAGGTAGAATCCTATAAGATCAACAGACTACATTTGATGAACAATCCTACCGAAATTTACTTCTCTTTCTCTCAATCGAGACTCCGCCTCAGGGTCTAATAAATTGTAATTGGATTCCTATGGAAAGGATTAACAATATGCAAATTATGCTAAGCAAACAGCTGGCTAATATACACAAACCTGTTCTTAGAGGTTTTATGAAAGTACTAATAACAGTGAGGTCTTTCTACATATTCTATTCAACGGTTGGAGTTCTCGTTTGTTTCAAAAAGGGATAATCTTCAAAAGTTCTGAAAGATTAGAGCAGAAGTTTTCAAGAATTTGAAGATGTACGCACGAACTGCTGAGGGCACAAAGAAGGAGCACGTAGAAAGTTTGTGGTAAGACTTGAAGCCAAGTGATTCCTTCACTTCCAAGAATCAAACATGTTCCATTACTGATTGTTATTGATATGATTGGCGAAAAATTGCGGCAAATTATTGAAGGCTTCGCCAGCGAAACTCATACTCTTGCAAAAAATAATGCCTGACATTTTGTTCGATGACGCACATTCACAGCTAATTCCAAAACTCACAGCTGTGAGAAAATACTGCTGCTAATTTGTAGCCGTGAAAGACAAGACCGAGCTGAGCACCAGAATGAGGAGAGAAACTAGCAAAATGGTGATGGGCGGGGTAGCAGCCAGCAGGATAAGGATTTCGCCAACAAAGTGTGTATTGGAGCCAAAGAGTACGATGGATGTGAAAAATGTGGTTTTTCATTTTGTAAGTTTTGCTTTAAATTAGGCGTAAAGGTAAAGTCTGAACTTATCCGGGTATCCTTATTTCTAACAAACTTAATTGCAAAAGTTTAACTAAGCTGGTCTAAGAGGAGCAGGCATTCGTGACGCCAAATTCAGCTACAAACCCTGGCCTAGTACCGTAGTACCGTATTCTTTCCAAAAGCGGACCGACCAAGTCCCTGAGATACGGTACTGGGCGAAAGTTAGAAGTTATACAACTCAATCTTTCGGGCATTCTGGTCAAGTTCATCGATATCCATATAGAAAATTTCGATGCTCAGATATGCTTGGATATTATCTGCTAGATAGTATTTAGATCAGAATTTTTGCCATTGTTACATCGTTGGTTTAGATGGAAAGAAGAAGCTATAGAAGGAAAAGAATGTTTGAACTGCAGCCGATATATGAGTCATTTCGCATTGCGCAGGAAATCGAGCAGCAGCTTCTTCAATAAATGGCTTCTCAACTAAGATTAATGCATGAGGTCGATGTTCGCATACACTTGAGCTAAATGATGCGATTATGAAGTGTGTTCTAGCAAAGTGATGTAAGCAGCTTGCACCTGCTGCGCGGATGCTTGATTTACAAAGTTCGAAAAGCGTATGATTTAGTCGCCATCATTCGAAAATTATTATATTCTTACAAGGAGAAGAAGGTTAGCCGAATTGGCCTTTTGAGATGAGACGCATATCGCTTTGAAAGGCAATTTTGTCTAATTTCAAGTCTACCTTTCCTTTCTTCTGCGAGTGTCTGGATGAAGACTTAAGAAGGTTACGAGTAAAAGTTGAATGCATGTTTGATGTAACATCAGTGGTCTGCATATATTAAAGACTATTTATTGCACAGAGTGATTCGACTGCTCTATTTGAGGAAATCCTAGGAGAATCCTGGGAAAAATACCCTAGGATATTATGTTGTATCCCAAAAGAATGTTACGACTGATTCTACCCTAGCTGAGCACTTAGCACTTTGTTTCTAAAGGCTCTCATAACTCCTCGCCTAGAAACCCGAAGCAGGTGAGGAAGGCAGATTTAAACAGCAATCCAAGCCCCTTTACCGCAGTATACATTTTACCGCAAAGGTCTTTTCGACTAACCATCCTTTCCTTGTTAGTAAAAAAGAAGGGAATTCGCAGCTCCAAGATATAAGGTAAAAGATCATTGAATTGACACATTTCACAGAGCAAATAAAGAGCAGATCGCCTCTTAAAAAAATCTTCCCCTTTCAAAAACACCGGCACTGGCCGTATGCTTTCAGGAAAGGCCTGAGATTTAGAGGCAAAGAGTTTTCAATACCTGAAGATTCTTACTTTTCCTCCATATTGTACTGCTGTGAATATAGAGTATTCAAAAATCAAAGCAAAGGGTCAAAAGAAACATTGCTCGATAAGTTCGAAAACGAGATGCACAAAAAATATGTTATTAGTTCTGTCCCAGCCCAACTTTTTTTATGTTCAGGCTATTTCATAGATTGGATTCTAATGTAGCATGATAATTGCTCTGATCAATAACCACCTAAATCATCTTTATAAGATATATTTGATGGAACAACATGGTTACCGTAATAAAAAATGCCGTCTTCATTTGTAACAATTCTTGAAACACTGTGAGAAAGCAGGAACCTGAAGAGCAATGCTCGCGTTCTTTCTAATAGTGCTTTTCGCCTTACATTGGGTAGGTGGAGCTTGGTAAAAGATCAGATTTTTATCTCCGTAATCCGTAGCCCTTATTGACGAGTTTTTCTTGCTCTACATAATTATGTGCTATAGAAAAGACATAGCAGATAAGTTCTTGTTTGAGCAAATGCGCATGAATGCGTTGTGTTCTTCTTATACGGCAGCAAATCTTGATTCAAACCCTTTATTTGAAGCATCAAAGCTGTTTACAGAGTTAGTGCTATAAGGAAGAGTCAAAAGTCGATAAAGTTTCTAGAAGCTAGTCAAATTAGGACAAATTGCGCATTGTTCATGATAGAAATTCTCGAACAACTTATAATTCATAGTAGTAAAAATTTGGAATCATCTATACATAAAGATTCTCCAGCTAGAGACTGCTGCTCTATTCGTGAAATAAATAACAAATTCAAAACCTCAAAGGGAGATTCTGTTAACAATAAGAGTGCATTCATCCTAGCACTTCTAGCTTTTCTCACTTTCAAGACCTCTTCAAAGTTTCGAAGAGTGAGACAAAAAGCTCGAGTGGATATTGGATATTACTGAAGCCAAGTCCCCAGTTGCACTTGCAGTCGGGACAGAAAGTTGAGTTCTGCGGTTATAATGTGATTAGCTCTTGCTTGCAGATTTGTCGTGAAATATTTATTTTACATCAAAAGTGCAAAGAAGGGCAAAGGAGCAGGCTGAAAAGCTCTTAATCCGATAAGATGCAGGAAGAAAATTCAGAAGGCTGCGCTTTTTTAAACAGAGATGTAATGTAGAGCTCAATGATCTGAATTTCCTGAACTGAACCATTTACATTTCGAGTCTACCCAACGGAAGGTACAGAATCAGAGAGAGTTGTCACAGTGAAATCTTCGCTACAGCTTGAACCAGCTTCTACTTGATGGTATTGTGTGAATTGCTTTTTTACAAAATCAAGATTAGCATACTGAGAAAATGGAGATGATCAGCTTTGAATTTAAAAGCTTAATTTGGTGCAGGGTCAAGAGGAAGATATCCAGATTGACTCTAGATTCGATCCTAAATATATTCGACTATAATTCCCCTCCCAAACCCGCTGGGAAAATATTTACAAAATAGAAAAGTCGACATCAGGTTATAGAGTTTAAAAGAATAGGCACCTCCTATGACAAGAACGAGGGTTTTTTTTGTCAAAATATATGTAAGTTTGCTTCTTGGCTGTTTTTTGAGGGCACGTTGCCATCCTTTGTGAAAGGTGTTCTCGGGAGCCCAGTCAAATCTCTTTCTTTGATTTGGAACATGTTGTATAAACAAGTACAAAATGTCAGGTTTGCTTGGCAAGATTTAAAGTAAAACTTTGTATTCTGAGGTAGCACAAAAATCTGCTCGTTCAAATAGTTATCGAACAGCGGCCTCAATTTTGAAACCCATAGCTTCATCAACTTTTTTAAAACACTTCTTTCTAATTACGATGGCAAATAAGATAAAGTGCTCTGCTAGTTTTTCGTTATCAACATTGTGAATCGTTCAAACTGCATTCCGAATCTTCTCGAGTTAGACCTTGCTTGAAAGAAGTGAAATTTATCCTATTGGCCATCTTAGTTACCCTAACTTCACGCGTACAAGGTGCGGCTTTTTTGACTTTTTATTCGAACCGCTCAGACGCTTCACTGTAAGAGAGATCCTTATACAGTACGATTCCTTCAGAAGATGTACAGCACGGTATAGGTTCCTTTGGTTGCAAACTCCTTCGGCGTGTGTGGGCTGGTCGATTTTGGAAAAATAATCGCCCGCGTCTTGCATCTATG